AGGGTGTGGGGTCGAAGCCCAAGCATCAAAAAATACATTCCGAATTGGTGTACTCCTCAGGAGATAAGCAATATTTTTGTTTGATGCTTGAAAATGTTTATTTGCTTATAGACTTTGCTTGTGATGCTTATAACATCTTGTTTTTGACCGCTATACCCACTGGGTGAGAGGGTGAGGTAACAAACAAAAACTTTAGAAGCATCAAGGCGGCTGGGCGCCACAGGCTCCACGGCCCAGGCGTCCGCCATCACCTCCGCCATGGGCGAGTCCGTGCCGTCGTACGCACCAGAAGCTGCTCCAGCAACGAGAACACGTAAGTAAGTGCACTCGGCATCTGTGGACACTGGCTTGCAAGCGCTGCCTTTCTCAGTCCCCTTCATTTTGTCACACACGCTTGCACATCGTCAGCGTGCGACCCGATAAAACTTCAATTGGGGCAAGGCTCAATTTAAATCTTGTTTATTTGGGGGCCTGGCTCGGCGAAGCAAGATGGCAAATTTGTAGGGTGAAAAATCACTGGCCTGCCCCTCTGACTGGGTGTGACGCCTGCCGAGATGCTTGCGTAAGGCGTCCGAGCGGCTGAGATCGTCAGGACACACTGCAATCCCTACCATGGTGCCCTCGCCGTACACCAGCCCATCACGCGAAGATTCTGGAACCACTTTGCCGATTGGTCAACGTGTCGTGCAAAAATTTTATAATGACAACTAGAGGACCACCATGGTGATGGTGATGCCCACTTGAACGCACACCAGCATGACAAACTGCTTTGCTGCTTGCGGCATACACAAGTAAGACGATGCAATGACATTTTGTGAGGAGGCACGGAATGTTCAAACCAAACGATCCGTCCACTGCAGCATGTCCAGGCCACAAACTGAAGGATCGGGCAGTGCGCATGCAGAGCAACAAGCTACACATCATGAAAAGAGCGCAGGACGCGCCCAAGGGCATGCGGCAGACGCTACGAGCGCCATACGCAATCGGCGGCCAAAGCACCTGGGAAGGAGGCGGCATGGCCTTGGCTTGGGCCTGCCGGGGAGGCTGCAGCCTGGCAACAACATCCTTGGCATTCCCGGATGACACGTACATCGTCAAATGCGTCCTTGCCTTCTCCCCCATGTGTTGACCGCAATTGGCGCGCGCCAGAACAGCATTGTAGGATTCCGGCTGCATACGGGCTGGCCAATGCTGTGTTGGGCGCGCGTCGAAAAGCACAGTCAAGAGCAGGGGTCAGACTGCACCGGCCGCAATAAAACGTCAAAACACGACCGCACGGCCCTGTATCCGGCAACGCCCAAAATGTGCGCGCAAAGAAAGATGATTGGCAATGTGGTGATCACTTGGCGGGTTGCAGCCCCGGGACATTGCCTCAAACTTATGATGTCTCTTTTGGTGTTTCTTGGGCGCTGTTGTGGGGGACGCCACTGGCTGGCTCCCTAAAGTACTCGATTCATGACTCTCCACATGCATGTCCTATCGCGCGGTGCCATTGGGAGGCGGCGCTACACACGCGGGCTTTTCGGCGTTTTCCTGGGTGCGTGGGCTGTTCCACGTGTTTGCCGGAAAGTTTGTTCATAACTTTTTTTTTCCAATCAAATCCCGTTCGTGCTAAGCTTGCACGCACGGGCACACCAGCCGTTTTTCCCGTAGCCTTTAGCCTTTGCTCGCTGTTCCCCACCCGTTTCTGCACCCGGTTCCGTGCACTCCCACTGCATCCAGGTGCTGGGAAGGGCCAACCAATAGTCCAGGGAATCCGAAGCAGGCAGGGTCGCAGATTAATCCTCAGGCAGCTCAGCTGCGCGCGGGAAGGTGGCTAAAAAGAGGCGCGTCACAGGGACGGTCTGCTTGCAAGGACAGCAGCTCGGGGCTGCCTGTCCAAAATTTCTGGCGTCCTGGAACTCCGGCGAAAACTTTGTGGATGAAATTTCTTCGCTGCGGCAAGGCCCAGGACGGCCCAACATCGCTGTATGCAGGCCGCAGTACATGCCACACTGACAGGGGATTTCCCGGGTCTCCGCCAGCCACCGAGCTGGAGTTCGATGATTACGGGGCGAGAGCGCGGGGCGGGGAGAAACTCGCGGCACGCGCACTCCTTGGCAAGGCGCAGTGCGCAGTGCAGCCCCGCGGATTTTGCAGGCATGGAAAACGGGAAGACCAAGGCTGCGCAAGGACACATTAGGACCACCGCGTCAACGGCGAGCTGGGGCAATGACTTTCAGGCGACGCGCATTTGCGAGACGTTGTCAAAAAAAAACCACGCAGCGCATGTTTCGAAACGCGTTTTTGCGCTGCCGAGGGGATGCATGCGTTTTGTTCTGGAGCTTCAACAAAAACAGGCTGGATTTGCGTCAGCTGCTTTTGATTGCGGTTCCTGCTCGCGAATTCGAGCAGACGCACTTCATCGGAGTTCTGAATGATGATCTACGGGTCCGTTCCCATTCATCACGACTCACATGCACCATTCGATCACGGAAGTTGCAATGGTTATGCGTATCGGCCCGCAAGATTGTCCGTGCAATGCCTGCAATGAACAATTGTTCCGGGTTGCCTGCAACATGTTGCCCTGCGCAAGCCAGCCGGCGGAGTCAGAGCCCTCGTTGTCGGGGACGTGCTGCGGCGCCTGGTTGGACGGGTCCTGGCCCAGACTTTCTCCGCCCAACTCCAGCAAGCTTGTCAACCCTTCCAGTTTGGGCTCAGCACGAGAGCTGGAACTGAGGCGCTCGCCCGTGTCCTACGCGTTGCAGCTGAGGTCGACCCGCGTGCTACGGTGCTGTCGGTCGATGCAGCTGGGGCATTCGACCACGTCTCCCGGGCTGCGATGCTGGCGGCGTTGCATGCGCAACCAACGCTACAGCCTCTCCTCCCTTTTCCCCCACAGTTCTACGCCACGGCTAGCCGCTACGTGTGGACGGACGACCGAGGATGCAGCCATGAGGTCTGCCAAGCTGAGGGCGGCGAGCAAGGGGACCCCCTCATGCCCGGGCTGTACTCCCTGGCCGCGCACGCTGCTCTGCAAGGTCCAATCACAGCTCCGGGATGGCGAAGCTGTTTTTGCCTTCTTGGACGACATCTACGTCGAATCTACGTCGTTGCTGCACCTGAGCGGGTCCTCCGGCTGTATGAGCACGTCGAGGTCGCCCTGTGGGAGCATGCGCGCGTCCGCCTCAACCGCTCCAAAACCAAGGCCTGGAATGCCGCTGGCGAGGAACCGCAGGGCATCCGGGACCTCCAGCCCGAGGGCGGTGATCCGGTATGGGTTGGGGATTGGGCGTTGCCCCAGGATCAGCAGGGTCTCGTCGCGCTGGGCACGCCGCGGTTCCGATGCCTTTGTGCAGTGCCAGCTCCGCATCAAACGTGCTGCCCAAGACCGGCTCCTGGAGCGCATCCCGCATGTTGACGACCTCCAAGCTTCCTGGTTGCTTTTGCGCTACTGCGCTTCGCCGAGGGCAAACTACTTGCTGCGAGTACTGCCCCACGCGCTCAGCGAGGAATACGCCGCT